GTGACGAGGACCGACGATGATTGGGACAATCACAGTAGGGGAACTCCACTAACACTACACAGCCTCAGCCAGCAGATCCCGCTTTAGCTGCTGAAGATAGGACGCTGAACACTTGGAGAACGCAGCCTCCAAGTCGATCTGCTAAACTAAGTCAAGAGGCTACAGGTGGCGTGAGAAAAGGGGAGAGAGTAGAGGGCTTGTACGAGTTGATGGTTGAACGTCAACGAATCGGATGTAGTTAGCGTGCCAAGGCCCTTTAGGCTTCGCGCCTCCGGGCGAAATAAATTCCATCCATCCACTTGTAGCTTCATGCCTCAAACTCAACGCCCAAACTTCCCAGCTCAACCTTAAACCCATCAGACACAAAGCTTCACGCTCGTGCAGTTTCGTCAAGGCATGAACCGGGCAGCAGCCATCAGCCTCGCCTCAAGCATCGTAGCCTTTGTCGACTTCGGCATGAAACTAGTCATGGTCGCTCTAGAGATTTACGCATCCCCCGATGGCTGGCTGAAGGATTTTCGAAGCCGTGAAGCGGTTGCGCGGGACATGAAGCGCTTTGCGGCAGGCCTCATCTCACCTGACATTACGCGTCTGTCCGGACAGGGAACGATCCTATCTGGTCAGGAGAAGGCCCTCTGTGACCTCGCCACCGAGTGCCAGCAGCTCTCAATTGCATTGGTCAAGCTACTTGAGCGCATCAAATCTAGCCATGCTGCCTTCAAGAGGCTCAGCTTATGGGCGGCGCTTATTAAAGGAGCGAGAGGACCTTGAGAAGCGCCTTGACTTCTGTCGCGATCGGTTGGATCTACATCTCAATTTTTCCACCATAACCTGTCTGCGATCTAAGCCAAGACCTTCCAGTAGTGCCCGCTCGGATCCCGTCCTAACTGCATGCCAAGCGGCTGAGCCACCTTGACATTGGAATGGTCGACCAGTAGGAACGGCGCCGGTCTTTACAATTTCTCAAGGAACGGCACGCCAAGTAAGGTACCGTGCAACCCGAGATTGACGAAACTTGAAGTTCAGGCGAGAAAAACACCGTCACATCTTGGCAATAATGTTACATCTGTTAACATACTGGATGGCGAGGCAGGACGGCGGTACTGTAGCACTCCTCAATCTCTTTGATTTCGGCGCCATTTGGTATTGGTTGTGCCGAACTACTGTGGTAACCGGCGACTGCCCAGTTGCCTACCCATGCCCGGGCTCGTAGAGTTTTCACATGAGTATCTCTAATCGTACGGGGTCGCCAACCTAATTGTACGGGGTCCGCACAGACCACCTGGACGAGGCTCACTGCAGGTGCTCAGCCCGTTACAAGCAGGTGCGAAGGTCCACCCCTCTCCACCACCACTACCTCGGCGGTTACCACGCAACTGAGCGCGATCTGAAGCTATTCAGAAGCCTCTAAACGCACTAGAGGAATACCGTTGCATTATCATTAGTACACCATACTACCATCCACCCAACCCCCCACCCCCGCAACCAATCCGCCACGATGGCTGACGACGGCGGCGGCGGGGCTCGCGGGCTCGGGGGACTACAGGAAGACGGGGAAGAGGTCGGGACGAGGAAGAGGTCGCGGACGGGGACGAGGCCAGCAAAATAGAGTAGAGGAGACCCAAGGAGGTACAGGTCCTGAGTCTGGCGCAGCCATACAGCTCGGGACGCCAGCGCCGGACACCCCCTTGGCTAGTTGACAGATAGGAATGGATGCCTGATTTCCCTGCGATAGACCCCCACGGCCCCAATTCCCATTATCCCCAACCCATTTCCGGAAGGCGGTGGGTGCGGACCCCGTACAATTAGGTTGGCGACCCCGTACAATCAGAGATTGTTGGATTTGGCAGGTGGTCAGAGAGGGCAGTTCAGGGGTGACCAATGGCTTGGCACCAGGATTCTCAGGATCAGGAACAGGCAGGGAACTTCTGGGAAAACACAGACAGGTACATCATCATCAATTGAGTGGTTGCCCATCCTTTTGGTACCCAACTACTACGGTGCGGCACATTCGTGGCTGTTGGCTTTCCAACAGAGATACTCTTTCACATCGTGTCCATCTTCTCCCTCTCCCTTCTTTTCGGAGTGCGACCGACCTCGCTGACCTCGCGCGAGCTGAGTCACTTCGCCTTGCTTCAGCGCCAAATATTCTGAATTCATGATGCTCAGCTTCCTGGAGACACCATGCATTTCAACATCCTCGCCACTGGGCTCGCCGCCCTCACAGCTGGAACGGTATCGGGTGTGTCAGCCAGGTTCTTGCCCCGACTCGCCGCCTGTGACTTTGCAGCACTATTCCCTCGCGAAAAGACAGGCAACCACAACGCTCGAACCGTCGAGAACTCGGAGAACGCTCTCGCCCGATCCTTAGCAGTGTGTCACCGAGAACATTACGCAGTATTTCGTCAACCTGCCTGCCCCTACCGGGAACGTTCTCTCTGCCATCGGCTCGTACGGCAAGGAAGTGGTCGAAGAATGTAGAGCCACGGCGACCGGCCATGACTACGTCTTATGCACCGTCTCGGATCCGAAAGATTGGTGCGGCTTCACCACTGCCGCACGGCCGGATATCCTTTCCAGCTACTCGACCTACGTCTCCGAGGTGGTGTCATATGGGACTTCCAAGAGCTCTACCATCTCCATTCTTTCGACCAGCTGTCCCGTTACCTGGATATATATTTATCCCCGTGAGCGCGAGTGGCTCAAGATTGCCACGGCCCATGCCAACCAGCGCTCCCAACAATCCAATCAATCCAATCCAAGCCTCATAATTGGATTGAATTGAGGCCTTTCTGAATAATTGATTGATTGAAGCCCCAGAATTGAATTGAATTGAAGAATTGCAATTAACGTCACATGATCCCGGGTGAGGTTATTCCGAGCCGACCGAGTCACTCGGCACTCTCCAGACATCCAGGTTCCTGATTACAACCCTGCTAAGAAGGACCTTGATTTCGCAGCCAATTCTTTAGGCACTGGAGCTTGGATATTGTATCCTCCTGTGTAGAGTGCCTCTGCATTCCCACGGCCAGTTTCGCAAGGCTGAACGTCCTCTCGCACTCCGTTGACATGGGTGGAAGAGAGCAAGTCGAGCGCCATCAGCCTAGGAAATCGCTCCTGGTTACTCAACCACCACTGCAACGGATCTTCCACCGGCCTAACAGGCTCGCCAAGGTAGGCTGCTACCTCATCCAGGCCGTGGAGAGCCTCGGGCGGATCGTAGAAGTCATCTCCATAGAGGTAGTGTGGCCGCCGGCGCTCAGGGCTCACATGGGCTTGTTCCTCGCCTGGATATTCCTCTTCAAAGAACTCCTTGAACTCTCCAACAATCATCTCCGCTCTTCCTCGCTCGTTAACAAAGAATCGTTGTATCCACCTCGCTCTGCAACCAGGGAGCAGTATCATTGCTGCCCAATAAGCTGGAGATGCCTCCATCAAGACCACATACTTCCTGAGCTTCTGAATAGCGAGCCCGAGGCTTGTTTGGATTATGTTAGCGCCATCACTGTCGAGGTCCTCAATCACAGGATCTCCAATCTCAATTTGAGGACCGCAAGGTGTACCAGGATGTCTGTTTCTGAGTCCTGGGGGATCAACCTCGTAGCCTTCAAACCGCCGTGGCAACTGCGAGGCTCGTTGGGGTCTTCTGGGCTGTGATGGTGGCGGCCAGGGGGACTCTTCCCGAGGCGGTGACTCAAGGGGAACGAGCTCTGGGCTGGCAAACGACGCTTTCTCGAAGGCCTTAGTGTCACGGCGGGACAGGCGGACAATCCAATGACAATTGTATTCGGGCTAAACTACAGTCTAAGCTCTATTCCGTCAGGTACGGGCAGGCTTGATTGTCAAGACGTAGCTCGAGGAGCTACGAACAGATCTCGCGGCAACGAGGTGCAGAATATTTAACACACAGGGGCCCGTGCTTTCCACATGCCGGGTTCCACCCGTGGGTCCTAGCAGGCACGGCGCAATCGCCGTGACACTTAGAGTATTGTTGGCTTAACTGTTCGAGGTCCCTGAGCAACGTATATGCGTGGGCGATAACCTCGGCAAAATTGTGTTCCCTGCCCTCAAACTTCTTCGTGATGATTTTGAAAGGCTCAAGAATCGCAAGTGCTTCCGTCAAAACTGACCAGTCCGAGGCTGTAAGGAGCATCTCCTTATTGAGCAGCTTCTGGGGATCTTTTTCCCGGGACCAACGCACCGAAAACACCTCCAACGGGTCCTTCAACACCATTGCCCTCTCAATCATGAGGTAAACAGAGTTCCAGCGGGTGTTATTGTCGGCCCGAAGTTGAAGTTTGGCGGTATTGGCGTCAAGCAGGATAGAACCGAATTCTTCTCGCTCCTCCTCGGATAACTGGCCCTTGGCAACCTCAAGAAAGCTCTCGCGGCGCTGAGGACTGCGGCGAATAAAATGCACAAGGTAGTGGAGCTTTCCAATGGGCCCAGCTTTCCGCCATTGCCTCAGAAGCTCTCCCTCTTGCTCATTGTCAAGGCGGGCTTGAGGACTTTCCTCGAGTGTTTGGAGGATGTTCTTATTGCTTCCCTCAAGGAAGGCTTTGGCAACAAGATTGAGGACATGGCCAATGCAGCGGAGTCGGCGCTTCCTCTTTAGCTTCGTAATTTCGACGGCAGTCAGCGCGGGGTTGAGGTGTTGTAGTACGGCAGAGATGCAGCCATCATTTGAATCCACGTTGTCGGACTGGAAATAACCCAATTGCTGGGCCAGGCCAAAGCGCTCGACGACAGCAACAACTCCTTGGGCTAGGTTATCACCGCTGTGGCTCCCTTTGATCTTCGAGGGCCAGTAGATGTGTTTTCAGGGTTCCAGAACCGTCAAGGTAGTGCTCAACTACCGCCAATAGGGCGATGGAGTTGGATGATGTCCATAGGTCGAAAGAGAGGTGTTTCTTGAAGGCCGGAGCTGATGCTAAAGACCGCTTGAGCAAGGCGAATTTTTGGGCGAGTAGGTCGTCTAACCACTTCCTCACTGTCGACCCAGACTCTGGTAATAAGGAAGCAACCTTCTCGGCGTTTAACTGCATCAACAGACTCCGGAAATGAGAGTTCTGGACGACTGAAAAAGGTAGGTTAGAATCGACGATCCAGTTGAGCATCGTCTCCGTAAACATCTCTGAGGTGCTCTTCAATATAGGAACTCGAAGTGCGTGACTCGCTGTAGCAACAGACCGTAACCCAGCAGCCAATCGTACGCGTTTGCTTGGACCCTCAACACTGCTGTTGATCTCTTCGGCATCACCAGCTGTTTCGGTAATCCTATGGGACTTCTTCAGGTGTTGAGCAGCAGCGCTTGTAGCTTGGGAGTTGAAGATGCTGGAACACAGCTCACAACACCAGAAAGAGCCATCAGCCTTGTCCCCTTGTAACCGCGTGAGCCAGATGCCGTGTTTCCCAATCCACGAGGTCCGATTCTTCTTAGACAGCCATTCCTCCAGGATATGTCTGTTTCCTTTATGGAAAATCGCTGGAAGATCCTCAACGGCGAGGGGCAGTTGTTCTGGTCGAATCTTTGCCGCATCGCGAGCTTGGTCGGCAATGCTGCGGGCCCGGCGAAGGCGGGAGAATGCGCTGTTTCCGGCGGTAGAAGCAGTCGATAGGAGGGTCGGAGCATCGCTGGCAATAGAAGCCGTGGCTGAGCAATCGGGGAGGTCAGACATAGCGGTACTTCGGAGGCAGCTATGGCCTAATAGAACAGTCGGGCTCGACCCGGGGACGCAACACCAAGGGGAACCATCACGATACAACGCGCATCGAACTAGGGGGGCAACCACAACGCGTCCGGTCCGGCTGTTTTTCCGGCTAGATGGGCAGTATTTCCCCCCCCCAGGGTTTTCCAGGGCGTCCAAAACAGGGAAAAATCAGGCCTAATAATTGACAATTCGTCAATCAATCACAGTGTCCGAATTGGATTGAATTGAGCCCAAAAAATCCATGATTGAATTGGATTGGATTGATTGGATTGGAAGATTGCCAAGAAAAATTGAATTGTTGGGAGCGCTGCTGCCAACTGCTATCTCGAGGCGCATCCCCAGACCCAGAGAGACACTATGGCGCCGATTGTCACGACCGGCGAGGCTAGTGCGTCGACAACGGCAACAGCGCGAACGATCACAACAACGATCAGTGAGGCTAGTGTTTCTCGCCGCGGCCATGCTCTGGAAGCCTTTGCCTTGATGAGCACGGGGCTTGTGGCCCTCGCCAATGCGGCATGATACGGCACCTTCTCACTTTGAACTCGGGACTGATACGTGTGACATGGCCCAAAATGGCAAGCAAATGTACTTGAGATATCGAGCTCCGGAAAAGCCAAATCCTGAGGACTCCTATGTAGATAGTACACATCGGCAGCTCCTTGAAAGTGGATTTTAGTACATAAGGTAGTTACTGAGTAAACACATTTCAGACACAATAGGCCCTGGTACCGACCACCAACCCCTCATCGCTCATCACATACAGGTAAAATACCATCCTTGATCGGGACATAGACGAGCATACACAATAAGTCAATAGACCAGTCGGAGCAGGAAGGAGTGGCGTATGTAGCCACCAGGGCTCACTTGCGTCTACACTCAGACCATGGCCTGAAGCACGAGTTCAGTGTCTTCACAAATACTAGGCAGTCGGACCACTATACATCAGTACCCTCAGCAAGCACCTTCCTTGCGGCAACCCATACGAATCTCACCCCATAATCCGGATCGCTCTTCTCCAGCTGTCCGCCCCAGCCTCAAGCTCCTCAAACTCAACCACATCGAGTCCAACACCTGTCACCATGGCTTTGCTTCCCTCCACACCAAAACTGCTCCAGAACATCTCGTGGCCCAGAAACTCCCCGTACATCTCCTCTTCATCCATCGTCGCCAAATTGAAGACACTGCAGGGAGTATTGTTCATGCGGCCTGCGGCAAGATATATCAGATATTCAACTCGAGGACGGATAACAGGGGCCGACCGCGAGCCTCTGGGCCGCAGGAGCCCACAGCGGTAGAAGAAGCCGCCAACACAATTGCAGTTTGAACGGGAGGGACTGCCGACACGGACAGAGTAATGGAGGAGGCCTGGAGAGAGAGGTGGCTCAAGGAACGAGACGGCCGGACAGCAACGAGGCCCGCAGATGACCTTGACCACCAGCACGAGACCCTGTTCCAAGACAAAACCCTAAGGAGACACGACGGCCTCAGCAGAGCGAAGAGTTCACTGTTGATCCAGATTCGAACCGGGGCCATAGGCCTTCGGGCTTTCTTATTCGAAAGGAGAGTCCCAGAGGTACTGACGCCTATATGCGAGTGTGGAGAGGGGCGAGAGACTGTCGAACACCTTGTGATGTGGTGTTTGGCCCCACCGTTGACTCGAAGATGGGAGAGAGCCGAGATCAGAACGCGAAGGGACTTTTATTCTGTCCTACAGAGAATCAGTCCCAAAGATGCACGGCTAACGGGGAGGATTCTGGACTGGCTGATGGACTCGGGGAAATTGCCGATGTACAGTCTGGCCAGGAGGCTGGAGCTGGAGTTCGCAGTCTGATACCCTTTCCTTCGAAGGCCAAGAGGCCTTCCCACTTTGTATTTGCAGGATCGCACACTGATCGTTTCCTTGATTGTCGATATGGGTTTTTCACCCGGCCCACGGGCGCGGTTTTCCTGTATAGTAAGTTGTTGAAGGTCCGGCACGCCCTAGGGCACAGCGGTGTAGGAATAATAATAAATTGAAGACAGCCATCCCGTCCGGCTTGAGCCACGAATGAATCTTGGCAAACATGCCCTTCTGCTTGTCCCGCGGCAGGTGGAAGATGCTAAAAAGGCGACGACGCCGTCAAAGCTGTCTGGCCCGAAAGACAGGGCGGTCATGTCGCCGGGAATGACCGCCGCCGCCGGACACCGAGCTCTGGCCAGGTCGAGCTGCTTTGTCGAGATGTCGTTGGCTACCACCCGAGCCCCGCGGTCCAGCAGCATGCGGGTGATGGGCACGCCGGCGCCGCAGTCTAGTTCGAGGTGCGCGGGGAGGGCGGGGAGTTGGAGAGGAGCTTGTTGATGTAGCGCTCGCGCGGAGAGCGCTGGTTCTTGACCCAGTTGAGGTATGATTCGGCTATGTGGTCATAGCCTTGCGACACTATCTGCTTTGGGGTGTCGGACATGGTGGGAAGCTTGATGGGCATCAAAGTTGACGTGTCTAAGTTGGTCAGGCGAGGTCGTGTTTGAAAGAAGGGAAAACATTGACTGCCACAGTAAGAAGGAGGAGGTTTTGATGACACTTATATTCATAATCAGGTTAGGTAGCTTAGGTATAGTCGTCGATAAGGACCTGTTTGGCCGACTGAGTCACACGGGAATCTTCTAGTAGGTACTCAGCGCGTATAACTCAATGTCACCCGCAGCAACAGAGCTGAGCAACCGATTAGCAGGTAGCTTTGCACATCATACGACCGGGTGGATGTGGGTGAGCCGGCGGGTGATATGTAATAGCCGAGGTTGCATGCATGGCAATCCTAGGGCGTCGGCATACAAGCCACTGCATCGGACTAATACACCAATCATATCACCTTTTTATTGGGATCCCTATCCTGCCCCTCAAGTGCTAAGCGCTGAGTGATCTCACGTTTTCCTTCCGCCCTTTAAGACTATAATAGACTTACGCCGGCTGAGTGCAGGACGTTTTGGAACCCCCAACCTAATGCAAACTCCCCGCAACTGAAACCCACCCAAACAGCGCGCGATTTGGAACATTGCCCCCATCGCCGCACCTATAGCCCTAACCCTCATAGACAATCAATGTCTAGCCCGCCAACGACCGCCTTTTCGCGATGACCACGACTACCCGATGGTGCGGCGAGAAACTACCGCGAGATCCGGCACCGCCGCGATCAGTTTCCCCTACTCTGCGCCGGCGAGCGGGTGTTTCGCCCGGCTGTTTGCAGCCGAGTCGATTGTCCCGTACCAATAAGTGAAGAAAAGGGGGGCTAAGGACAAGGACAAAATCATATCACCGGAAACCATCTTGAAAACCCGTAAGAGTTTCGCACCTGCGGTACACAACGCACATTATATCATCGACATTAAGATACCAGAGCATTGCTTCAACGGTAATGCGCTCATCACCTACTCACACATTTCCTAATCAATCCATCTCATTGTCCTCCTCTTCGTTTTCATTTTCCTCTGCATCCTCTCCCTCCTCGTCTGCTTCCCTTTCGCTGTCTTCCCGCCTGTCCTCTTCGCCATCCCCCTCATCTCCGTCGCCAGCATCGTCCATACCGTCCCTATCGCCCTCGTCATCATCATCACTACCGACCAAAGTCCCCGGGAGCGAAACGTTCCGCATGCGGTTGTCCGGCGCCTCCTTTAGGACCGCCGTAGATGAAGCCCACGCCATTAACAGAGGCTCAATCACACCTTCGGCAGCCACGGACCTGAAGCCGCCCAGCTTCCCTATGATTACCAGCATCATCCATTCCGCCAACTTCGCGAACAAGCCGCGGTCCTGCACGAGAAACCGAATCACCACGCATAGCAGCACAGACAGCGTCTCCCACCGAAAGCGTGACACATACTCCGACCACACGCACACGTCATACCACAGCCAGTCCCACCAGGTTGCGTCTACGAAGCGGTCCCACCGGGCCAGCTGCACTTCGAGGTCCTCCGCCTTGGTCGGGCGGCAGCCGTCCGGATGTTCCTTCCTCCACCACAGCGCCAGCCGCTCGTTCCACTCGTCCTTGAGCTTGAGCTTGAGCTTCTGGCCGGCTCCGGCTCCGGTCTCTGCTCGGGCGGCCTGGGGGGCGTGCCACGGTGCTGCCTCGCAGAAGCGGATCCAGCGGTGCACGACACGGCAGGCAACCTCGTAGTCGATGTCAAAGTACTCGGCATGGGCTTTGCCGCAACAGCAGTCAAACCTGTACCGGAAGCGCCGCAGCTCCTTCTGGGCCAGCTTCTCGACCGTCACGTAATACCGATCGATCAGCATCTCTAGATGCGGGCGTGGTGACTCCTCCGAGCCGCCAACGCTCAGGCAGTCGAACCGGATGCAGCTGCAGGTCTGTTCGATTGCACGTTTGCGCTGGTCAGCCGAGTGGGTCGTTTGGCCGATCTTGACGACGCGCTTCTCCTGGTGGAAGGCTGTCAGGACGTAGACAAAGCCCCTTTCCTTTTTCTCTTTGACATTGGAGGGACCTTGGATCAGCTCCTTGACGGAAGCGTCGTTATCTCGAAACGGTTTTGCTACTAGGCGAGGCAGTGGATCGCTCACTGATCGAGCCTTGACCGTAAGAAGAGCAACGCCTGCGGCGTCGGCGGGGGGCATTGCTCGTCCACTCGAAGGAGTCGTTTTTGCGGAGGTCGGTTTCGGCCGTTTGGCTATAGAAACAAATGGCGACTCATCTTCTGACGTGATCTCGATTGGTACGTCACGCGAACCCCTTGGGCTAGGCGTTGGGTGTGGGGCCGCCGCAGGGCGACATGTCGGAGTTGAAGTTTGTGGGGTGAGAGACCGAGTGCAAGACTCTTGATCCTGGCGCGGTGCCTTCTTCTTTGCTTGCCCACGAGGCGTGACTGGCTGGGTGACGCTTCGTGTTCGGCTAGGAGTGTGCTGAGTTGATGTGATGGCTGTGGCTTCAGCCTCCTCAGCCGGCTGTGGTGTCTTAACTTTTTGTCTTGGTTGCGGCGACATAATGCTCAACTCCAGTTCGTGAAGTACGGAAGGGGTCCATGGGAGAGGAACTCTTTCATCCTTTAATTTATACCCAAACCTTGGAAAATCCGCAAAAACCAACAGCTCTTGGCGGGCGCTTAAGCTGCAGGGCCAACCCCCTCGACGTCCATGCGGCCTGGTGAGGAAACTCTAAGCCCTTGCCAGCTCAGCTTTCCAGGGCATACATGCGGCCGGTAGGCGAGGCCAAGCATAGCCCCATTCACCCGAAACGCTTATGCGTCTTCAGTGGCCGCCGGGTCCTTGAAACATACGAGAGGCAAGAGAGAGTCGGGAACTGGCTATAGAGGCGAACTCTACGGCGGTTTCATTTCGCTATAGCGGGGGATGCACAACGAGATCTAAGGAGAACGGGGTCATACTGTGGAAAGAAGGGAAAAATAGTAAAAGGCGAATTGGGTGTCGCTAATGTTTTCGTCAACTTCTTCAAGGCCTGCGGGGTTCAGCCTTTAGCTTAACAACCTCGACGTCCCTCCATCGATCTGGGTCAGGTTGGCGGGGCCGCCCTGGTCCGCGGGCCAATGGGTCGCGCGCCCTTCAATACACCCGGGCCCGGTCGATTGGGTTCCGGGCGATGCTCGTAGGACAGTCTGCCTTATCTAGCATTGAAAGTTACCCAAAATAACCTAGGTGATATTATTTTAGGCAGCAGTGGTAGGCCTCTCTAAAGAGACTACACCGCAATGAGATAGACTAGTATATTTGGGCAAGCGCGCTGCACCCAATAACTACTGTAACAAATAGACCCGGTTGGTTTGCGTGCCCAGGCTGAGTGCGGGGTTTCTTCATTGCTGCCTTCCGTTTGATTCTCTGTTTGCACGTCTTGACTTTGGCATGTCTCTGGTTATCCCACTGAGTGCCGGACACCACAATGATTTGCGCGCGATGCCGCCACGCTTTTCAATCCATTGTCATCAATGATGATACATGGATTGCGGGTTCCAACAAGAGCCACCAGCCGGAAGGGCGGGAAGAGCAGAAAAAGTGGCTCGCGTTTACACATCATCCGACGTATGAAAGCTTCAGGGAGGCCACCGACCAACGTTGCAGCGTTTGCATTGTCCTTTGGGGGGAACTGGGAGCTGAGCAACAGAGTCTACTCGCGGATGCGATTTGGACGCGCAAGGACAGCACCTCGGGTCAATCACTCAAAGCCAGTACCGTATTCTTGAGTCAAAAGCGCCAGATATATCAAGGGGGGGATACAATTGTTACATTCCAAGGCACGACAACTAGAGACTGGCACTCAACCAACACCGAATGGATCTGTTGGAAAGCCAACAGCCACAATTCCACGGTGACATACTTTATGGGAGCCGTTAAAACAGTGAACTTTTCGAGTGCTTAGGACCAGCCCAGAATCTGTCGATTGAGTTCTCTTCGTCTCCTCAAGTTATCTGGGTACCTCGCAGACCATATGTAACAGCTGTGTATTACCCCTGACCAGGGTACGACACCGGCAACCCAGTTCCCGAGTTTCAAGTGCCATCACTTCCAACAGGTATCTTAACGCTGACTGGCTCGCGGTTCTTGTCACTTTAGTGACTTTCAGGCTGGGTTGAGGGTGCGGGCCTGGAGGTTATATAGGTTGGCATTGCGTGGGTGGTGAGTAAGGGCGAGAGTAAGAGAGTGGTAATAGAGAGGGTGTGTGTCTGGAAGTAAAAGTGAGTGAGTGAGGGAGTGTGCGTGTACGTGAGAGTGTGCGACTAGGTTGTATTTGTCCTAGAAGATGCAGATTGAGTGCATCCAGTCTCGGAACTCAAGACACGGTAGCGCCGGAGCGTCTGCTGGCCTCTGTATCTCCAATACTGCCTCTGCGGCAATGTTTCCAACCTTGGCGGAGCCAATACGCTCAAAAATGGCTTTCTCCTTGTCTATGAGCTTAAGCAGTAGCATCTCCTGTAACGGTCTCAGGTAGTATATTGCAACTAGCTGATGACGACTCTACGAGTACACTGAACTTGGAGAAGAAAAGGAGAGACGACAGACTCTGGTAGCTCGCAAGCATACTTATCCTCGAGGCGCGCTGGTCTGAGCGCGTTGCTAGAAGGTTCGGTGTGCTGTGGGGCGAGTGGGAATAGCCTCATCAGGGGTCTTGGTATTGGCCGAGAGTCGCCGAGGCTCGCACCGGGCCCAGCCCGTTACATCTCCAGTCTCCTGTCCTTGACCTTGTCATGCGAAACAACGACAGTTCGGGCGAGCATCGCAAACAGCATGCCAGTTGCGTTCTTCTTCAAAGCCCTCCTGGAAGACGTTGAGACGAAGCTCTGGTGAGGTAGGGTAGACGACGCCGGTCGTCAGCAATATCTCGTACGCTGTTACTTTGACGCCCTTCAAGATGAAGTCCCACACCCCCCCCCACGATCACGGTCGATGTTATTGCGGGCAAGTTGCAACTGCCTAAGCGGACCACGCAAACGAAGCGACCCCCGCACCACTGCCCCAAATATATCCCCTGTTAAATACTCGAGAAGCGCTTCCTCGACTCTGATGAGCGAATTCTTGATATTAGACACCCTGGCACTACCGGGCCGTCAACGGATGCCCAAGACCAGGAAGGGGCACGGGATTGTCCAGGTCGTGACGTCTTTCCGGGTAGACCGGATTGCTTGACGTGCCAGAGGAGCTCGCCTTCGAGTGCGCTCCGCCACATACCCGCCACGTAGTCGTCCTGGATAAGGGCAGCTATGTGTTTTGCAATGCCGGAGACGGCGATCAGCTTGTCGCTGGGGAAGGTCAAATCAAAAGCAGTATACTCGTTGACGACGCACCTCCAGATGTGTCTGACCTCGCTAATAAAATCTGCTGTCGGAAACTCGTGTGGTTTGAATGACAGGGACAAGGCTCTTGAAGATCAAGTAGTCCCTTCCCACAAGCTGGCCGGGGAGCTCGTTTCGGGCACGGTTCTGTGACAAACTTCTCGAGACATTCCCAGAGCACCTGGTGCGTGTTAAACTGGAGGACGCGAGGTTAGAGGAAACGCTCCTGAAAAAACCAGGCCCGTGTGTTGACAAGTGCTTGGGAGGCATTCCGGTGCCAGTAAGACTCGTCGTAGACGCGAAAAAGCTGCGTCTGTTCGCCGTGATGCCCGATTTTCAGTTCAATGACTTGCGGGAGGATGGTATCTGTATCTCTGTGCCGAAACAAGGTCTCGAGGCAGCCGTTTGCGTCACGCGCCGATATGTTGCAGAAGGTATTCGAATAGACTTGGTTCATGAGAGTAGACTCGCGATGCCAGTCAGCTAGGTTGTCCTCGTCTTGATAGATACAGAACAAGTCGATCCATATATAGAGTTGCGGCAGCGATCTCAGCGAGACTCCGTCGGCGAGGTGGGGTTACGTATGGCGAGTGAGCCGGAGTTGCTCCGTGGGTCCCCAGCGATGGGACACGGTCGTGTATTGTTGGACAGCCAACAGTTACATGCTCAAGTAAGGTTAGATCAACCAAATGGGTATTGAACAGATTGAGGTATGAAATGAAGCTTGAATTAGAGTCACGATTCCAGAGTGACCACACAAATGAAGGATCAAGATAGTGGGTTAGGGTGCCTCAGAATGTCCATTTCTTGTTGGAACAAATTGTCCTCTTTAATCCTCCCAGGGGAATTACCCCCTTATATAGAGACAGTGTGCCATGATACGACGTTTATGTCAGGAACTGCGTCATTGTGATGGATCTGTGTTGACTGAGAGTCTCGCATTGAACATCAGTGCTCAGTCCGTGAATCTTGGTGCCAAGGAACCCACTCAGTTCAACACCCTGCTGTTGGATGCATGGCTGCACAACTGAGCGTTAGGCAACGTGAGGGGTAACCAGGGGCTGGGCAACGAGATCAGGGCGATTCCCCCTTCGCTGGAGACGTGAGAGAATAACAACCTTCAATGAAGAACTTCTGGGATACTCAAAGTATCTAAAACCCACAGTTGTAAGCTCCCATCACCTGTGTGATCACCGTGGAATCGTGGCTGTTGGTCTTCCAACAGATACATGCGCCTGGGTTTGGCAAGATCGTTCTGAAGCCCCCAGCTGCCGGTAATGGGGACGAAGTGTGAGTATAGTAACTACCCATGATCGTAACATTTGGGAACGTGGCCCAGGTGTTGTACTGCACCAGGTCTATTTGGAACAACAGCGAAAGCAGACGCCGCCGTTGTTGTCGAACGGGGACAGGAGAAATAATCTGCACCTGTACAGCTGGATGGGTCTCATAAGCACCTAGGTTCCTGTTTACTAGCCTAGCCGGGTTTCGAAGAATGGGCAGGGTACTTGTAATGTACAATGTACCTAGCAAGGGTAGAACTCGCCCTTGTCTTTCGGTTCGGGATCGCCCCAGTTCCGACGCGCCTGAGCCGGCGAGCAGACCGGTATCCTGACCATGCCCAAGTCCAACACCTTATCCGTGTCTGAGTCGTCAAAGAAATTGCGGAACTCGAGACTGTCTGGGTTGAATTGGTATCCATTCTGCTTGCTGTTCTTGGTCCAGGTCCTCAGCGATCTGTAAAGAATATGGGTCAGCCGTGAGCCATCAAATGACCAAGAGGTTTGTCGAGAGTCATAATGGCAAGGTAGTGCGAGTTTGAGGATCGGCGTAAAGTCAAGGGGTCTTACGCGGTCATAATGTCCTGGTAGGTGAGGCCAAATTCTTGCAGGTTATCGAGGCCGGGCGGTTCACTGAACGGAAGATTCTCGCAGTACGGAAACGACGAGCCCGGATTATTGATGCAGCGCTGCTGCGGGCCTATCGCGCCCAGCATCAGGTACTGCTTGTCCTCGAAGCACAGCTCAACCTTCTTGGCGGTAGTGGTGAATATGACCTCGTCTTTGTACTCGCTGAAGTCGCCGCAGGCGCGGCCCGTCTCGAGGATGGCGACGTTGGCGTCCTTGTTGTGCCGCCACGCCTCGGGAATGATGTACATGAACAGCGCGTGCTTGGCGAGGTCCTTCATCTCGTCGACCCCCATGAGCCTGGGGCTCTTCATACCCTTGGGAACGCCGCCGGGAATGAGCGCGCCGTTGGCCATGAAGTCGGACAGCAGCCCGTTGCCCTCGGCCGTGCCAGCGAATACCTTGCGGGCATACCCGGTCACCATTTTCTCCCAACCAGTCATGGTAACGTTCAATGCGATTTCCAGATTGGCGGCTTTGCTGAGCTCGTCCTCGACGTTCCTATTTGTCAAGTCCTCGTGTCAGCTGGAATGTCCTCCGACTTAATCTCATCAAGTGGTTTTGCGATGTGGGCTCACGCTGTGTCCTTGTCCTTGCCAGTAGCAACGATACCAAGAGCTAGCGATTCCGCAACCTTTTCCGCTCCCGGGCCTCGGAACACTAGTGGTGTAAGCTTCACGTCAGCTCGATCGGATTAAGTAGACGGTTGAAAGAGGGCTGGGAAGGGAGGAGGAATGAGAAGAAATGAATCAGGTAAGAAAGAGCTTGAACCACCGGTAGGATATCAAGGCACTTACGGTATCCCCACAGAGGGCCGCCCGCAATTGCGGTAAGCTAAGAACCAGTTAGCTTGACAGAGTCGAAAATCGCGCGGGCCGTCGTCCTTACCGCCCCAAGAATATTCCATCCCAGTTGCTTTTGAAATGTGTTGTCGTCTTCCTTCATGAACCGATCCTTCATGGTATGGACAAGACCCGCAACATCTGACCGAGCGCCTCTGATGGCCCCGTAATAGTTCACAAATGCCTTGAGACGAGTTGTTCAATGTTAGCTTACATAGGGCCGTTACTGACGAACGCCGAGGCCGGGAACGCATACCTCCTCGAGCTTGACAAACGACTTTGCAATGAACATCCCCGCGGGGCCCGTCCTGGCCGGTGCATCGACGTCGCCTTTGTCGACGCAAGTATTCTGAGGGTTCAGGCACGAGTTTCCAGGTTGCACCGTCCCGCAGTCCACGCCCTGGATTCCGCGGAAGAAGACGCCGATGATCCACGACGAGAAGCTCCCCGTGTCCCGCTCGCTCATCTCGTATGCCTTGATCGCGTCGGCCCACGCCTCGTCCGCCATCACGCCCTGCCACCTCTCTTTACGGTCCATGTCGGCCTGCGTGACCGCGTGGATATCGCACGATACATCGTACCAACGCGTCACGCTGCCGGGGTTCCCCAGGAGTATGCCCTTGTTGGTGAACCGGTTTCGCAGGACGGGGCCGGCGGTGCGGCGCTCGATGTCGGTGAATTCCTCGAGGTCGTGCGCCCAGTCGGTCGTGCCGCCGAGGTTCAGAGCCTGGTACTTCTGCGACCGTCTCGACTTCTCCAAGGCGTCCATGTACGCGACCCAGGTTCCGTTGATGATGGCGATATTGGACTGGGTGGCTTTGTCGTAGTACACTTCGACGTCAACGATATCCTCCCGCTTACGGAGGCCGTCTGGTCTGGTCTGCTCTGCGTGGATGGTGATGAACTCTTGGATCTCGGCATTGGCGATGTACCCTCTGGTTCCGGTGCACGGTCCCGGCAGGGCTTCTGAGACGGTCGAGGTGCCGGTAAACTCACACATGTCGTCTCTGCAGTTGGGGTCCTTCATCTTGAAGGCGCGGCCGTAGCTGGTCACTCCGACAATAACCTTGTTGGCCGGCACGCCAGCTTTGGTGATCATGACCAGGGCGTTGTAGGTCTCCGTGCTGTTGACGTGGGAACGTAGACATCTGCCGCTCGGACAGCCGTCCTGCGACCATTTGGAGCCGGCATCCCACTGGCCGTGGAGATCGTATGTCATGTAGACAATGTAATCGACGACGGTGCCGATGTCCTTGATGGGGAAGGCCCTCAGGTACCAGTAGCTTGCCGGAGCCGCAATGGAGAGAGACGTGCCCGTCGGCAGCGCGGCCCTGAGCAGTTTCAGGAAGGCCAGATAGTTGGGGCCGTCGATGGGATCCGCTGGCGGAATGTCGGGCATATCGGGAGCCCCAGGATACTCCCAGTCGATATCGGCACCGTCAAGCCCGTGTTCCCTGACGAAGTTGGCAATGTTGTTCGCAAGCGTGCCACGGTTGGCAGAATTGACTGTAAAGCACACCCCATCAGTATGAGCCACAACTAGAGGAAAAGTAGAACCTTTCTACGAACCGCCATCCCGGAAAACCCTGAAGGTGGTCGGGCTTGTCGACGCCGTCCAGCCGCCAAAAGCCACAATCCGCTTGGCTGTCTTCAGAGCCTTGAACTTGTTGAACTGGGCCTGCACCTTGCTGACATCAACCCGAAAGTCGGATGTGATGTCGGCAAAGGCAAAGTGGACGTGGGTGAACTTAGTCTCGTCGATCGAGCTGGCGTCCAGCCACAGGCAGGCGCGGTCAGCGTTCCAGGCCTCGAAGTACCCGATCTTGAGGAATTGTGCCGGCGGGGCGGCGTTGTTGACGATGTTCATGCCGCAGTTGCTGATGCAAGTCCCCGTGCCTGGAGTTCCGTCACCCGTAACCTCACAGAATTCCTTGGTGGTGCCGCACTGGCCCCAAATATTGCAGCAAGTGTTCAACGGGCAGGGATTGAGAGTGCTGATGTTGGTGCCGGTGGGGGGCTTGACTGGAAGGTGTGTGCAGCAGTGTCAGCTAAGCCTCCCTCACTTGACTAGAAAGTAGTTCCAGAGAAGTTGTAGAACACGCACCAGTTCCAGGCTTCTGTGGGCCACATACGGCGTTGGCGATGGGAGCGGGCATAGGAGGAGTTCCTGAGCTGAGGCAGATCTTGGCATCCGGCCAGAGCTTGTCGCAACCGGCCCAACCCCACGTCTTCTTCTTGTTGTAGGTTTCCAGCTCTCCCTCCGACATTCCATTTGCGGCCTCAATCATGCTGCAAGAGTCACCCTTTTTGACGGTGTAGGTAGCGCATGATCCATCGGCGTTGTTCTTTGGTCTCCTGTCTGTAAGGGGACCTGACGAGCAGCAAATCCATTGGTTCTCTTTCAGAGTTGCGCAGAAATTGGTTGCCGGATTGTACTTGGTGAGGAGGCTAGGAGTGATTCCGCACTTTTCGTAGAGCGTTGCGCATGAGTCGCCAGCTGGTCGTGATGGGATTAGCGATGCAGAGCGACGTAAACAAACCACAGAACGAGCATAGCTCACCTGCAACCTGTATATCGGAACAGGTACCATCTGCGTTGGGTTGCGGGAGGGGAGGAAGCTTGCCCTCCATGCAGCAGACCTTCGCGCCAGGTTCAAGTTTTGAGCAATCAATATGCTGGCAACGAATGAAGATTAGCCATGTTGATGACGAGTCAGTGTTTTTGGGGTTTAAGACCTACGGGGTTGTAGTCCTGGAACTTGCTGAGCGAGATGGTGCAGCGCTTGTCGGCAATGGTGGCGCAGGTGTTGTCCATGGCGACGGTTTTGATGTTGGTGCAAGCCGGGAGCGGGACGGCTCCGGCATTGCAGCAGAAAATTTGGCCCTCAGGAAGAGGCTTCGAACAGTCGAGCTGCGGATTGTACGACTTGAAGGTGGCGAGAGAGATGGTGCATCGTTTATCTGCAATGGACTCGCAAGTATTGCCCAGAACGACAGTCTTGGAGTTGGTGCAATCGGGATCCCGGGGAACCGTGCCTTCATTGCAGCAGAAGTTCCGGCCCTCAAGAAGAGGCTTCGAACAGTCGAGCTGCGGATTATACGACTTGAATGTCGCCAGACTGATGGTGCAGCGCTTGTCGGCAATGCTCTCGCAGGTGTTTCCGAGGACAACTTGCTTGGCGTTGGTGCAATACGTCCGTGGTTGAAGCAACGGCTGGAGGGCCACGCTTCGGCCGGACACGCCTGACGTAAGAAGCAGGGTGGCGACAGCGGTCCCTAAAAGGGATGCTGTGCATTGGACCATGGTGTTCGGGCCTGGAAGGCTCCACGGGCGGCAGAGCTCAAAAGAGAGACTCAGCGAGAATGAAAAATAAAGGAGAGAACTGCAGATGACGACAACGTGGTAGCGCGACAGAGTCCGTTAGGGAAATCATAACCATTATATACGGCAGCGGGCGAGCTGCCCCCAAGTCCACTACTGGGTCCTGCTAGGTCATCCGTCATTACTGTTGGCGACCTTGGTATAGCAATCTTGTTTTGATTTCTGAATTCTGAAGCGAGCCGTTGGGTTGCATTACTCATCGTTGGTGTTGAGGAGTCTGTCAGCGCTAGGCCCGGCACCGAGTTCGCGATGGGCCGAGAAGGGAGTTAGAGGCAGTGACGGTTCATGGAAATCTCACGCCGACCAGCAAGCGGGCTTCTCAGCTCCTCGATAGAAGCTTGGCCCATAGGCGACGATATTGTCTCGAAGAGTCATTGTCAATTAATGATGAAAATGGAGAGTCAGGGCTGACAGTTTGCCGCCATGCAGACAGCATGCGTTAGGGCTGACTTTCAAGAACTTCTCGATAATGAAGTTGCGGCAAAGAAGCACGCTATCCCTGAAAATCGGACCGGCCTGGCGCGGCGCCAAGCCGAGAAGCGGCAGACCTGGCACTATACCCGAAACGGCAGTCGCTCAGCATCAATCACGTCCTGACAAGCTCATACAGCTCGAGCTTGGCAGGAACGCCGAGTGAGGGGAGGGTCAACCCTATGCTTGTGGGATTCCCCTAAAATCGAAAGCTGCATCCGTTCCCTTCTCTTGTACAACGCACCCTCACCGTCCCGTTCACCACCTCCCGCTCCTTCCGTAGTTATCTCAGCGCTTCGTAAGTCCCTCAATCGCAGCTCTTTCTCTTGTTGCCCCTACGAATATCGCCAAAATCTAGACATCATGCCCGTTTTCGTGACCTACGATGGCCCAAAGCTGGGCAATAAGCAGAAGAAGCCTGTCAGGACCCAGGTCATGGTCTTGGTGCGCGGCCAGCAGAAGCAAGCTAAATGTCAGGCCAAGTCTGCTCATCTATCCGATGAAGCACCCCCTCCGTAAGTATTGTTGTACATACGCCCACGGCCCGCGCCTCAGATTGGGCCTGGCTCGAATCCAGCATTGCCCTATTTGGGAAAATCCTGTCTGACCATCCCCTCCAACCACACAGCTTAGCTCCGGCCCCTGAGAAAAAACGGAGGCCGCATGGTTGTATCCGTACCCGAGGACGACGATGATATGCATGCCCAACACGCCCAGGTCACACTACAGGCAGCAACCGGGAGCTCCCAATCCCATCAACAGGCCGCCAATAGCAGCCACAAGCGCGACATGGCCATTCAGCCTCGACAGCAACGCCTTACTTGCCTGAACCCCTGTGACCTTCGCGGCGCACCCCCGCAATACACCCATATGACGGGCGTCGACGCCCGCACCTTCCAAGATTACTTGTGCCGGTGCGGGTCATATTCGTCCTACCTCGACGAGGCATTCATCCTCATCGGGTTCAAACAACAGAACTACTTTCGCCCAGACTTGTCCAAGGCGGCGTGCATCTACATTGGCTGGCTGCTGACGGCGGGTGTATTGGATGCTTTTCGCGGGACGCGGGAAATCACCTACCCCTAATATGAGTACCAGGCCGTGAGGACGTTGCAGAGTTTCATTGATGGGGCCGGCCATAGGGAGCTGCACGAGGTTGTGTATTCCGTGGTCATCTTGGCCATGTTTGAGGTACGTGTGGTACGTTTCCCGTCATGTCACTACGGAGTAAGGCAGAGAAGGATCACGCTGACCTTAACAAATCCGATTATAGATGTTCCGGTTCAGTCCCCGCGCGGTCACCCATCTCTCCGCCGTCGAGAGTTTTCTCAAGACCCGTGGGGGACTGCACAAGATGCCGGATGTCATGCAGCACCTCGTCATCATGTACGTTACCTCCGAACTGATGTCCGGGTCCTTCTCCCCCATGGTCTAGTATGCTCTACACAGGGGCGACACCCTCCAATGCCTGTGTCTCGGTACACCCCCAGCATTCAACACCCTCGGCTTGGGCCCCATCATGCGACTGATAACCGCCGACGGCTTCCTGGCGGGTGACCAACTCCGGTCTTGCCCCCTCCTTCTCTGCGACAACGAGGACTTGTCGCTCGCCGCGCATTACGTCAATCCGGCTATCCGCTTCCCCCTAGTTGGCGTCCTTCAAGCTGCAAGCGATTTGTTCCGGCAGTTCTTCCACTCGGGCGGGCAAGGCAGAGTCGGGAAAGAGGATGGTCCAGCTATGGACATGGATTTGGACGCCGTAGCGGGCGGCCCATCTGTTGCCAACAGCGTGCCGCGTCGCTTGTTGCAAACATGTGCTCTGACTGCCAGGATCATGCGCAGAACGCTGTCAGGACATTTTGATGGGTTTGATGACTCTCGAAATGAGTCGGATGTTCTGGGTGTCTACGATAACGCTCGGTTTATCGGTTTGAAGGCGTGGGCCGGGTTGCCGTATGTTTACGTTTGGGTGTAAGTTCCCCTCCTTCGCCCTTTCTGCTATTGTTTGAGTCTCTGGGCTTAATTGATCGGCGAAGAAATCTCATCGGGTTTGCTGCCACGACCGATGGACGGATGAGGTCCTATTTTGTTGCCGAGGTTGTCCGGTGCGCCTTCAGCTACGGGTGCTACCAGATGGAAGTCTTTCAGGGTACGTCCTTCCCTTTCTTTTCTTGCCCTACAACTACCCGTGACTGCATATGAGGGTGTAACTGACTTTGGTGCGTACCAGCTGCGGTCGGAAATTTCCTCCATCTCCGTGGCGCTCTTCTCTCGCAGCTCGCAAAACGGCTCTTGTGAAATGCCAGGCTCACGCCCTTACTCCTTTCCGTCGCCCGGGACCCACACACTCCGTCATGGGCCCCAGCGCGAGATACCGATTCTATTCCAACCCTCCTTGACGAGTATGGAAGCTCCCACAATGTCGCCCTCTTTCCCGAGTCCCGGATGGCAGGCAGCCTAGAGATGAGCGGCTGTTCTGGAGAGCAAGTGGGCACAAGACGACAGGAAAACAACAGTCTTTCCAATTCTGACATAACCACGATCTTGATGGCGCCAAGCCATATGTGCAAGAATCGGTTTCCAGCGGCTGGTGGCCAGGCACTCGCTTGTCACATCAGGTGTCCATTGCAGAAAAAGAAGTCGCCGATGCTTGAGCGGGTCGCGGCTTTTGAAGGATGTTTCAGCTGTTGAGAGACGAGAGTACCTCCGTAGGGATGCGCCGGGTATAGTCAAGCATAACGTCCGAATCTAGCAGTCCCAATATTTTTCCGCGTCAATAGCGCCAAAGCAGGGACCAAGCCACGAGGTCTGGCCGGGTCTCGCCAATAGTCCATCAATCCTGCGGTCTGATTACTGAACTCCCCCTTACAAAGAGAGATGTCTTGCCATTTCCCATTCCAGCTGGCGGAAGAAGGAGTGCGGTTTCTATCAGTCGTTTTGTTGCTCGTGAAATCGTACACGGCAACAAGTCCCCTCGTTTTGAACGCTCACTCAGTCACTCATTACCTCAATTAGGATGAAGCTCTCGGCGCTTTGCCTCGCCGGCTTCGCGGCTGGCACGTTCGGCAAGTGCATCACCAAGCCCTGCACAGGGCAGTGTGTTGCTGCTGTCGCGGAGGTCGGCGAGGCCTTTTGCTCGTCCTACTTGTCCCTCGAACCTGCTACAGCAACCGTGACGGAGACGGCAACTGTCACATCGTTCCAGACAAACATCGAGACCAGTTACGACGTCGTCACACTGACAACCCTGACCACAACCATGTACGTGGTCTATCCCCAAACCTATGCACACGCTATGGTCCTGGCAGCTAACGCGCAGATCCCAGCACCGGCCCTGCCACAACTATCTACGCCAAGCGCGAGGAACCCTCGGCGGATCCGGCCTCCCACATGCTCCCCCGGTGTGGCAATGCGGCGTCGAGGGTCAGCAGCGCCTGCAGCTGCATCTTGTCCACGCCGTCGATCGTGACGCTCGTAGAGACGGTCACGGCCACCGAGGCTACCGAGGCGACGGCCACCACCACCGCGACCATCACCAGCGGCGCGACAGCCACCGAATACGCCACCCCAACTGTGACGGTATCGCAGCCCATCGTCAACGGAAACTTTGAGGGCTATCTTACGACACGCAACATCCTCCCGTGGACGACCAGCGGCACCGGCGGTAGGATTGAGGCCGTCAACGGCGTCAACCCCTGCTCTGCCGGCGCCGCGTACTGCGCGGGCGGCCAGGTCGTCGTCCGCACCTACCCGCCCACCACCGGCAGCGGCTACGTATCGCTGCAGGAGTCCTTCATCGCCAAGGCATCCTCGACGTACAGTCTCTCTTTCATGTACCGCTGCCTGAACTACGACGCGAGCACACGCATCGACGTGTACTTCGCGGGGGCCAGGATCGGCACTACCAACGCGTGTGTCCCCGGCGCCGCCTTCTCCCGGGTCACCTCGGGCATGCAGTTCACGACGGACGAGACGGGTGCCGGTTTGCTGGAAATCCGCTTCGTCAACCCAAGCAACTTGCCGTACCTGTACTTTTACGCAGATGATTTCCAAGCCAAGAGGGTCCAATGATGTATTTACACCTTTTTGGCACGGCTTAAGGTCCGGGAGCGCTATCACTGTTGTTTATAGGAAATAGTAGTAACTTACAATAACTTGAACACAATCCGGGTGATGCATTTCCGGCTGTTCCAGACCTTTCCGAGTCAACCATGCCCCTATCCTATGCCGGGAATGCCTTGACATCGGCAACATCAGCCCATACCACCAGTAGGAGTCGGGTAATGCCCCACACTTGTACACTCGTATTGTCACGGGTGGGCGCAACTGACCACTGCGTAACACCCTCAAAAGAGGGACCGTGGTTCGAACTGTCCAGTCGAACCAGGAGTTGCGCACATGA